ATTGGTTGACATTGTGGCAAATACTGACATACCTTTAACAAGAGTAAAGAAGAGATTCCTATGCTGGAGGAACACACATAGTGGAGAAAGGCATACAAACTAAGAATTGTAACCGAGTAACAGATGCTGACATAGAGGAGACAGCACAATGGTGGCAAAAAGAAAAGAATTGGTCAGAATAACATAAAAGGTCTCATTATTCTGACTCTATATGTTAAAATAGTGATCTGCTATTGTGTTTAAAAAGTCAAGTAAGCCTTTGTCCGTAAATTATCCTAGAAAGAGAATCAATTGCTTGTGGCATGTCTTAAATTTCACCTTTGGTAAAATGTAATCTGTCTTGTGCTTCCCCTGATTAGTCTGGATTTGTCAGTGCATCTTTTGAAAGCACTGGGGCTCTGTGGTTTCCCATTCAGATTGCTGGAAAGTGACGTTCATACCAGGATTTAGCCAACATGCTAAGTAGCTGAAATTTGGAAAGCAGTAGGCAAAAGGAGACTAGCTCAGATGAGAAAATTACACATAATTTCTTTCCTCTCATTTTGTGAAAATCTTAAACCCACAGTTGCTAGGGATTAAAAAGAACTTTAACTAAATACTGACTTCTGCAAGGGTTTTTACAAATTTCTGAATCTATGCCCAGGATTTAAATTTCTAAATTGACTATTCCATCACAATTTCCCAGTGGAATTAAGTCTAATTTTAAGTGGATGTCCATTGACATCTTACTGATAGTATTGTGAGAGTCCCAAATGTTCATTCTATTTTTCCCACAAACAGGTAAATGTTCCTAAGTTAGTGGCTATCTTGAGTTGGTACTTGATTTGGTGCAAAGGTGGTGAGTGGAAAGGGGAATGATATAATATTGTAGTGCTTACTTTGATCTGGCTTGCCAGGCAGATACAGAAGACAAAACTCACTCTGTTTGAAACCTAGTATATCTTCTCGAATACCTAGCTCGGCACCTACCAGTCTCAACCTAGTCAAAATCATCAAGTTAGAATAATATTCTTATTGATAGAATTGTGTTTATTTTTCACTCTAAGTCAGTTTTACAAAGATAAATAAAATTCAAACTGTAATTAGCTAGGAATAATAATTTTCTAAAGACCTTCCCCTTCCCTGTTTCTTCTCCCTCTATCTATCCTATCTCATAAAACTAGAGAAAAGATGGGCATACAAGGGAAATAAAAGGTTGATGAGGCCTGGTGTACACATTGTAAACCAAAATTAATTTTAGACTGTAATAAAGAATAATAAACATTTATTTCAGCAAATGCAACCCAGGAGACGCAGGTTGGGTTAGCAACCTAAATTACTTCTGCCTACACAAAGGGAAGGGCACTTTTTATAGCTAGAAAGTTCCTGACGCAGTTCCTTATTAGGTCCATTTCATGTAAAGAAATATCCAAATCCATACACTTCTGAACTGCACAGTCCTGGCTGGTCAGGATTATGCACCTTATTGGTTGTTATGGAGCAGTTCTGATTGGATGGGGCAGGTCTTGGTCCACTGGTGGAAAGAGGATACCAGGAACCCTCTATAACAGGTGGCTGAGGCAGTGTAAAGGAGTCGAGTATTGCTTAGGAAGCCAAGAGTTCAGTCTGAAATTCTTCCTGGGATAAACAGAAGGTGAGGAGCCCCTGTCAGCTGCTAGACTGTCAGTGTTCATAAAATGTGGCTGCTCCATTGATTTCACCTAGTTTAAGACCATGGGGAGTCCATCACAGCAGACACATTCTTCCCTGGGGTTTACATCAAATGAATCTTTCTTCTTGGGGTCCACAACATAAAGAAAATAACAACTTACCATTACCATTGTTATCATGGTTTTACTGGTTTAGAAAAATATTTTCTGAGATCATAGTAATAGTATCTGCCTCAAAGAGGTGTTGTGAGAATTAGATATGCTAATGGGCTAAAGAGTCATAACCGTGTCTGGCACATAAAATACTGTCAATAGATGTTATATGGTCTTATTAATACTCGTGCTTTTATTTTTATTTTGTTTTTATCATCATACTTGCACAACCGTATATGGTTCAGCAAGTACAAGTTGACATTTAGTTGGTCAAAATATAACTTAGTTTAAGAAAGAATAATTCTGTTTCTAAACCTAAATTCTCAATACTTGACTTCTTAGGGAACACTCATACTTAAACTCAAAAGTTCAACAAACTCTACCTTAACTAGGATGTTATTTGAAGGTTTGCTGTAAAAGATTTGCCTTTAAAATAATTCTGAAAAATTCTAAATTTCATGGAAAAGTAGTCACAACCCAGTTTTGGCCTGTTGCTCCAGCCTTTACAAATACTGATTCCCGTTCTAGCCATCTGATGTCCCCAACACAAAGGGCAATGAGCCATTCCCCAAGCATGCCTTGTGCTTTCACGCCTTTCTGCCTCTGTGTGCATGCTGTTCTTTATGCCTAGACTATCCTCTTCTTCCAAATCCACTATAAAGCCTTCCAATTCTCACCTGGCTAGAAAATACGTAACCCCCTCTTATCCTCAGCTTTGCTGTCCACAGTTTCAGTTACCCACATTCAACTTCAGTTCAAAAACATTAACTGAAAAATTCCAGAAATAAACAATAACTTTTAAATTGTGCCCTGTCCCATGTTAACATGATAAAAATCTCATGCCATCCAATCCAGGATGTGAATCATCCCTTTGTTCTTAGACCAGAGCTTCTCCATGCTATATATGCTCTCCACCACCACCCCCACCCTACCACATCCACCATTAGTCATTTAGTAGCCGTCTTGGTTATTAGATTAACTGTCACAGTATCCCAGTGCTTTTATCCAAGTAACTCTTATTTTAGTTAATGGCCCCAAAGTACATGAATAGTGGTGCTAGCAATTTGGATATCCCAAAGAGAAGACATCAAGTGCTTCCTTTAAGTAAAAGTATGTATAGGGGAGAAAATTTTATATATATATATATATATATATATATATATATATATATACTATATACACACACACACATATATACTGTATATAGGGTTTGGGACTATCCTCAGTTTTAGGCATCTAATGGTGGTTTTGGAACTTATCTCCTGAGGATAAGAGGGTGAGGAGACTACTGTATCCCTCATCTCTACTTGCAAGAATATTTTTTCATCCTACTGCTGAGATACATTCTTCTTCCTATTAGCCATATCCCACTGCATGGAAATTCTTTGTTTGCAGGTCTGTAAGTTCTTTCAAGGTAACATTCTATGTCTATGGACACTGTTCCCAATGCCAAGCAGAAAGCCTACACATAGGATGGACTTCTTCACTGTTTGCCAGATTTCAGCAAATATATTTCAAGCATGAAAGATGAGACCCATGAGATATGATGAAGTTCCTGGTTCAGAGTTGAGGACAGAGCAAGGCTGGAGATAAAGGCTGTTCACTTGGTGTTCTTAGACCTACAGAATAAGCATTTAATTTTGGTAATAAAACAATTTCCCAAGTAAAAGTCATAATTATAACAATAAAAATGACAGCCATTTATTGAGCTCTTACTATGCTCCAGTCTCTATTCTCAGATTTTATGACTATTAACTCATGTAATTCTCAGAACAAGCCTATTAGTTATGTTCTCTATTATTCCTATTTTACAGATTAAAAACAAAACAGAGGCACAGAGACATTAAGAGTCTTTTCCCATAGTCATTCAGCTAGAAATAATTGGATGCAAAATGTGACAGCAGAATTTGAACCCAGGCAATTCCTGCAGGGTCCAGTTCCCTAATCACCTATTTGAGGTTGGTTAAGGAATTTTTAATACTTTTAGCATGATCTTTTATCCAGCTATGCACTTGAAACGTGTAATTTTGTGAACTAATGTCACCCCAACAAAAAACAAATAAATAAATAAGTAAATAAATGGAAAGAAAGAACTCAAAAAAAATCACATAGTAGATAATAAAACAGACTTATTTCAATAAGTCTAAAGGTTGTTAGTGGAGTTGATAAGGACAAGTTTTAAATTCTTATTTTTCACAACCATTAAGTATGGATATACCAACATTCATTAATTATGGTCATGACTAAATCAATGACATATATTATCCACTGTAAATAAATTACAGGTTTCCTCTAAACATGCCCCATCTTTCCAAACATATATTATCTTTCACTAGTTTTGCAAATCTTCTGATTAACCAGCCTATTTGCCCCCGCTAAGTAGTGAGGCAGGCTGTTCCACTGCATGGCATAGCACATCTCCACCTCCTCAGGCTGTTCTCCAAACTGTCTCTCAGATTTCTCATCTAGTCCTGGCCGATATCCAAGAACCCTATGTCTCAGCTCCGGGAGTATCACCTCAGCAGCTATCTCAGAGGTCTGCGAGGAGACCACTGTGGTGTTCTCCTCAATCTACTGGGACCAGTACTTGTCTCGCTCCTCTGGGTTCTTCCCAGCCAGCTCGTCATCCTGGGCCCATATGTCTGCATGATTTTGCTGATGTCCTGAGATTCGGGGATATCTAACACCACAGTCAATCCAGAGTTTTCAGTTTGATTTAACAGACCATTTATTTCCTCCTCATGATTCTTCATAAAGAGCAGCTGCTCCTTGAGAGCCTCGATCTCTGTCTCCAGCTGTAACTGAGTGACACTGGTGTTATCAGGGACCTTTGGGAGCCCACTGGTGTTGCTCTCCACAGGCTGGTGCATGGCCAGTTCTGTCTCACACTTTACTCTGAAATCATCAGCAGCAATTGGCCATTGTCAATCTGTAGAATGATGTGGGCATTGTCCACAGAACTTGCAAAGATCTGAACTGTCGGGTCCTCGATGGTCTTGAAATAATGGCCCCAGCCTCTGACCTGGATCCGTCCTTCTTCTTCAGGTGTTCTTGGATTTCACTCTCCAGTCTCTGATTACCAGCCTCTGGGCTTCTCATCCCCTCCAGGTAGGAGGCCAGGTGGTCTTCAGGTATTGCATAGTCTCCTTCTCACTCTAGATGCTCCCTATTATACCCGCTAGACCCCTGGTCATCCTCCTAGCCAGGCCCCGGACCCCCAGCCACCCCCACACCCTCAGCCACCCCCACATTGGTGGAGTGGGGCTTAGAGATCAGGGAGCCGAAGCCCCTGGCACCTACATAGACACTGGTTGAGTTGCTGGCCAGCCGGCCCAGTGGCTGGTTATACCGCACAGAGCCCAGGGTCTGATAGTTTGTGGAGAGGCTGGAAGGGATGCTGAAGCTCATGTTCTTCACGGAGGAAGGTGAGAAGCACAGACTCAGGTTAAAGCAGCGATGAGTGCCAGGCCCTTGACTCAAGTTACAAGTATATCTTTTCTTTGGTTGGTTTAGTTATTTTGTATAATTCCATTTCCTTCTGCTATTAACTTGGTAGCTATACATTCTCTTATTGTTATTTCTTACCCTAAAGATCACAATATGCAAAGATGACTTCTTGTAGTCTAAGACAAATAAATATAGCCCCTTCTCAATGCAAAAACCTTAGAACCCTTTAACTGCTTTTATCCTTTTTTAATTTCATTTTATCTTTCCATTAATATATCCATTAACTCATTTGTAATATGTTAGCCCCACAACATAACATTATAGGTTTATATCAAAATTGAATAATTACTTTATTTGGTATTTTTAAATCTGTCTGTGCCTTTGAATTTCCATGTAGGATAATTTTCTCCCATGGTCATACAGCTGGAAAGTATTTTCTCCTGTACGGGTATGTGGGTGCAAAACTTTCCTGCGTTTACTGGAGAATACCTTTTTTCAAGCTCATTTTTGAAAAATAATTTTTCAGCTTATAGAAACCTTTTGCAGGTGTTTTCCCAGCATTTTTAATATATTGTTTCTTTGTCTTCAGGCTTTTTCTTTCTTCTTTTTTTTTTTTTTTTCCTGCAGGGAAGTCAGCTAAATTTCCTTGTTGCTGCTTTGATGATCTAAGTTTTCTCTTTTTCTCTAGCTGGTTACATAATGCTTTCTCTGACAGTGTGTCTTTGTAATATTTATTTCTTTTTAAAAATATATGTTTTATTGATTTTTTTACAGAGAAGAAGAGAGAGGCACAGAGTTAGAAGTATCAATGAGAGAGAATCATCGATCAGCTGCCTCTTGCACACCCCCCACTGGGGATGTGCCCACAACCAAGGTACATGCCCTTGACTGGAATCAAACCTGGGACCTTTCAGTCTGCAGGCCTGAAGATCTATTCACTGAGCCAAACCAGTTTCGGCTTTTATTTCTTTATAATATTTATATTCCTTTGTGTGGTTTTCTTTGTATTTATCCTGCTTGTGTTCACAGATTTTTTTTTAAAAGAAAATATCATTTATTGTAACTTCAAATATCATTTCTCTCTTTTATTTTTCTCTTCTTTTTTGGGGGACTCTATTAATATACAGGTTTAGAGCTTCTCAATTATTCCCTGTCTCTCACATTGTTTCCTCTGCATGTGTTTCAATCTTTTCATCTTTTTGTGCTTCATTCTGTATATATTATTTTTATATTTACCTTCCAGTTCACTAATTCTCTCTTCAAAGTGTCTAGCCTCATGATAAATCTGTCCACTGGGTTCCTGATTTTAGTCATATACTTATTTGTTCTAGAATGTCCATTTTGTATCTTTTTATGGTATATTATTATCTGTTAAAGTTGTCTTATCTCAGCTACATTTTTCATATGTAATTTGAAGTCCATCCATGTGTCAAAAACTTCATTTTTAAGATACCTGATGAGTTCCTTATATTGTTTGCTTTTTTTTTTTTTTATTTTCCAATAAACTCTTGATTTCTTGCGAGGTTCAGAAATGTAGGGACACAGGTGTGGGAGGCAATGTGAGGAGGCCTCGCACCCCACTTCCCAGGGGCAGTGCCTCAGTTTCCCAGCACAGCAGCAGAAACACAGGGAGAGAGCAGGGAAAACAGCCCCTAACCCTCCCAGGCTGCGGCTCATCTCTCAGCGCCAGCGGGGCCTTCACCTGCTGGGCACCTCCTCGCGGCTCTGCGCTCCACAATCACAGGGCGAACCAGAACCAGAAGCTGGTCCCGGCCGCCAGTCCTGAGATCAGGCCATCCTTCTCCAAGCGATTCTCTGAGTAACTTCACGATTTCATTCATCATTTTTTCTTTAGCCAGTGAGTGTTTTAGTTCCCAAAGCTATTTCATGACCAACGGAACCGTGGAAGCTGCACAAGTGTTCAGGACGAGGCGCTTCCTGCCAGGTGCTCCTTCAGGATGGCCTTCGCAGCAGCAGACTGGCATGGGTGCTGTGCAGATTACCTCCCGGCAGAGCCACTGCATCATAAGGTCCCTCTTTTCTGCATCTTCCAGGCTGCCATCCGGAACTGGGATAATCCAGGATTGCGGCTGTCCTTAGCCACCTGTCAGAAGCAAACAAAATCCTCTTTGAAGGAAGGTTATATTCTAGTCTCAAATGATAGCTTACCACTTCTCATGTACAATACCTGACACTGAGTGAAAGATAACCAGACATATAAGAAGTCAAGACTGCTTGTTTGCAAGTGTCCCAGGTGGGTGAGTTCAGTTTACCACCGACTGGTTCAGTTATGCGGGTGCAGAGGTGCTGCGGCCCGGGAGGTGGATGACAACATCCAGGCTGCACTGCACAGGTCCTTTCCAGCCAAACCCGAAACGGTGACCTTAATTCCAGCTCATCTCATGGCATCTACAGGGATAACAGGCTCCAGCTCTTCTGCTCCTTTAGCCAGGATGACCAGAGCTCTTTCTGAAGCCATGTTTATGCTGTATTTTAAAAGACTGAACCTCGCCTCCCCTCCTGCAGTCATGTCTCCGCCTCCCGGGCCGCAGCACCTCTGCACCCGCATTAACAGAACCAGTCGGGGCTAAACTGGACTCACACACCTTGCAAGCGAGCAGTTTTGACTTCTTATATGTCTGGTTATCTTTCACTCAGTGTCAGGTATTGTACATGAGAAGTGGTAAGCTATCATTTGAGACTAGAATGTAACCTTTCTTCAAAGAGGATTTTTGTTTGCTTCTGACAGGTGGCTAAGGACAGCCACAATCCTGAATTATCCCAGTTCAATGATTAAATGTTATGATCAGTAACTGGGCTTCAGTCCCTTTGTGGAAGATCTATTTTAGTACCACACTTACTTATGGAGCTTCCTATATAATAAAGAACTAATATGCTAATTAGACCGAGCAGCAGAAGCAGCCATCTATGGACCTTGTGGAGGAAGCAGCAGGGGGCAGCAAGGCCCCAGCCCCTTGCAAGAATTTCATGCTTGGGCCTCTAAATAGCCTTACAGTTTGGAATCCCAACCTAAAACTTGTGAACAAGTGCCCCCAGGGGAAAAGCAGTCCCAAATGCAAAGCTCTGTTCTCTGGATTTCCTTCTTTCTTCGATTCTTGGCTCTCTGGGGACTTCAGTGGTGAAATTTTATCCAGATTTTGTCATTTTCTTAACAGAAAGAAAATGATTGTTTACTAATATGTTTTCACATACATAAATTTAAAATGTTTATTTAGTTATAGTTCTTGATTGTTCCCCCGCCCCATCATTCATAAAAAGGCCTGCTCTACTTCAACTTATACTACTACCCTGTTTCCCAGAAAATAAGACAGTGTCTTATATTAATTTTTTTCTCCCAAAGTTGCGCTACGTCTTATTTTCAGGTGATGTCTTATCTTTCCATGCGCTAGGTCTTATTTTCGGAGGATGTCTTATTTTTGGAGAAACATGGTAGTAGCTGGTATTAATTTTTGTATGAACTATGAGATAAGAATTTGGCTCTATATTTTCCCCCCAAATAACTAATTATTGACTAGCTATATGTTGAATAATTTATATATTCTCTTGGATTTTTTACACATACACTCTTTCCATTAATGTGCAAAGTCACCAATATATTATTTTGCTCTTTTTCTGTATTTTCTATTCTGTTTTACTATTTTTTTTTTATTTTTTGCACTAATGCCTATTTTCTTAAATTTACTGTAACTTTATGTTATGTTTCTATATCTGGTGAGAAAAGGCTTTCTTCTTCCACACAGGCCCATTATACCAACTTTTTTGTTTTTATTTCCCCAGAAAAGAAATCTCAATGTGACTTTGATTAAGATCACATAAATTTTGGAGAGTATTTTAAAGCAAATAGACAATGTTACAATATTGAGTTTCTCTAGCTAGAGGCATCTTTATATTGTAACTGTAACCTTACTTATTATTTCTGGTATGTTTTATCAGTTGATCAACTTAGCTTTTAAAGATAAAGAACTATGTTATTTTTCTATAATGAGAATTGTGCTAATTTCTTCATAATATCTATATTCCTTACTCATTATTGTTATCTTAAATAATAGTACATTAGCTTGGGTGGGAATGAATTTCAAACTTCACTTTTAGGTCTGAACCTTAATTCACTCAAACTCACCATTTAGCATAATACCAATCTCACCAAAGCAATTGGTTCAAGAATGAATAAGACAGGCCCTGATGGGTAGGGCACACCACTTGGTCACAGTTATTTTTATTTATTTATTTATTTTTTAGAGTTTGGCAGGTGATTAAAGAATTTTCAAGGTTTTCAGAAGAGGCACTCTTTATTTTCCTGGACTGTAAAGTATAAACAATAGGTTGGCCTTGATCCTCTATGGCCATTTTGCTTCCCTGAGAGAAGCAACTCAACACAGAAAGAAACACAGAACTGAAAAAACTGAGAGAAACCAAACAGCAGCACTGAAAACAGCTATGCAAACTAAAACCAGCCATTGAAACTAAACCTATCCTGCAAATGCATTCCCCTTTATTTTTGAAGCCTGTGCACATTATTTCCAACCCCAGTTAATCTAACAGATACATCATCCCAGTGCTATAGTCAAGTAACACACCTAAAACGGAATGACAAAGGAGGTTTGAAAACACAGGCATGTGGAGAATTATACCAGACAAATGTGTGCAAACAGAAAGCAGAAATGGCAGAATCAAAATCAGATAACAATTCAAAATCAAGACCATTAAGCAGGGGAAAGAGGTATACTATGAGATCTACAAGTATAATTAATGAATGTCTATACACCAAAACCGATAGTGGTAAAAGCTATAAAGGCAAAACTCTGACAAAGATAGATATAATGACGATCAAAGTCACAAGTCATTGTGGGGAATTTTGTATTAGAATTTGATGGATCAAACACATACAAATAAGGATATATAGAATGCAAAAATAAAAAAAGACAATGTAAAAACAATAA